GTGTCCAAGTGAACGGTGTCCAAATGAACGGTGTCCAAGTGAACGGTGTCCAAGTGAACAGTGAGCATCCTTCTGTGTCCAAGTGAACTGTGGGTACTTGAACGGTGTCCAACTGAACTGTGTCCAAGTAAACGGTGTCCAACTGAACGGTGTCCAAATGAACGGTGTGTAACTGAACAACGTGCATTTTCTTTCGTGTCCAAACGCACCGTGTACAATTGAACTGTGTGTTAAATGCCGTGTCCATTTGCAACGTGTCCATTTGCAACGTGTCCAATTGTACTGTGTCCAAGTGCACCGCTCCCCATAACAGAACCTATTAGCAGGATTCTGGGTAAACATAAAATCAAAGTAATCTTCAAACCCCATAGGAAGCTCTCCCATTTACTCCCAAATCCGAAGGATCAGAAATCATGCCTAGAAATATCAGGTTGTTCCGTACGGGAGCTGTCGTCCGCACGGATCGCGGGCGGCGGGCGGCCGTGCAGCAGGCGCGTTCCGCGCGCGGGCGACTACCGCTCGCCGCGGCTTCACGCCGCCGCCGCTACGCGGCAGCGCGCCGAGCCGGGGCCGTTACTCGCGGTTAAATTTCGGTGCGGTGCCTATATAAGACGCCGCGGACGCCGACTCTAGGCCTTTTGACTACTATTGCACATCAGGTCACTGCCTCGCTGAGGTATTCTTTTGCACTATATCTAGCTGCATATCTGCCTTGAACTTTACTGCCTTAAGAGTGTCGTAGACACGTTGGCATTTGTGGTTAGGTTTTCGGTGACTCTACACAACCCTCCGCAGCCCTTTAGAGTGCGCTTGCGCATTGGGCTAATGTCTCTAGAGTGTCCGAGGACACGTTGACATCGGTGTTACGAAGTGTACGATAACTCCACGGATCTCCAACCTTCTCAATACGATCGAGGATTTAGAGAAGGCTTTGCGCGACCATATCGGATTACCTTGACATCTCCACTGCGGTGGACGTCTCTCTTCGCGACATCTCAGTATTGCGCATACTGAATATTATCGCCGACAGATCCTACTGTTGGGATCACGACTCCGCGCGAGTCGTCCTTGTCCGCACAGGACTCAGTCGCTGCCAGGGACGCAGCATATACACGCGAGCCGAGCTCGCCTTCACGCCCGCACGGGACTTAGACCCTGCCCGGGATGCAGCATATACACGCGAGCCGAGCTCGCCTTCACGCCCGCACGGGACTTAGACGTTGCCAGAGACGCAGCATATACAAAACACGGAGT